CAAGAGAAGAAAGTAAAAAGAAACGCAAAATAGAGACAGTAAACAGAGATATATGGCAAAAAGAATAGTAATAACGAAGAAAAATATAGTTTCATTGGGTATTATAAGTCACAAGGAGAGGATGCATCTGCGTCAGCCACTGAGAACGATTTTGATCTATATCACCAATTGTTTCCAACCATTGGTTTTTACCGTCCCGAGGACCCCAACAAGGAAGTCTACCCCTTCCTACGTGGCCTAGACTAACTGTTGTAGATTTCATTGACTGGTGAAGCCATGTTTTGGTTTGATCACCGCTAACTCTTTTCCAGCCTGACCCTATATCAGCTAACATTGCCCATTGTCAAGGAAGGCAATGGTTAGGCATGCGTAACACATGTCCTAACCATCTCAATCGATGTAACTTCACAGCCTCGTCTATTGACTTCCCCTCCTTACCCACCTAGCACTTCACCGATACCTAACCTCAATATTGCTCACCTTATTACACCACTTCACACGGGAGATAGAACGCAGGCATCTATGATCAAAGACAGCTAGCGAGCATTTTCATGTCTTCCACTCTCAGTGGCCAGGTCTCACAGCCATAAAGGAGGACGGAGCGGACTGATGAGCAGTACACCCGCCCTTTGGTCGATAGCCGGATATCACGTCTACTAAGCCAGAGATGGCGTAAACTGGTATATGCGAAACTAGCCCTCTGTATTCGTTCTGAGATTTCGTCGAAAATCAACCCGTTGGGGCTGATAGTACTTCCCAAGTAAGTGAAGTGGTCAACGTGCTCTGCCACTTCACTTGCTATTTCTAATCTAGGGGTCGGTGTAGTCCAATCCTGCAGCATCATCTTACATTTTACAGGGGCGAATCGCATGCCAAACATACGAAGATTGCAGCTCATGGTGTTCAGAAGACTCTGCATTTTGTCAGCCAGAGTCTTCACCTAGAAGGACTATATCATCTGCATATTCTAAGTCAACGAGACTATTATTCCCTGGTAACAAGACAGGCAAGTCATGGAGACGTCGAAGAAAATCTGACAAGGATGTCTAGATGTTGAGTTGATCCACAGAAAGGAAACAAAAATAAGTTTTAAAAATCGAACTTATTTATTTACTAATTACCCGAATAGATAAGTGATCATTGTACATTGACCAGAAACACCCAAGTTTTACACAATGGTCACTGTCTATCAACTTGAAATGATCAATAAGTCAAAAGTGAATAAACCATGTGACCTTTAGTTTATGGGGAGAACCCGTTGACAATTCTGACACTCAACGGCCGACCGGCCGGCCGGCCTATGAAATCTAACTTCGACCAATTCTCGATATTCAAGTATTGGTTTGCAGGGATTTGATTGGTTGGTTACAAGTTTGATCACTGTCTGAGATGACCTTGGAGTAGTGGACAGACGACTGTTTCGTCCTAGTTTGGGACTCTTTATCAACAGGCACTCACCGCCAGGGTTCGAACCCAGGATGGACCCTCAGGTTACAAGGCGAGCTCGTAGACCATTCGGCCACTGGGATCCGATCCAATGATCCATGAATTCCAGATTCTGCCAATTCACAATAGATTTCATTGACGTACTACTGGACTTTTAGATGCTGTAATTTTAGAAATTCATGTAAAGAGAGTCAATCATTTTCGGCGATGTGTTTTTCCGTTGCTACCCACCAAGCAAGGCATATTTGCATAGCTTCTTTACTCCTATTATTATTTGGGGATAGTACCCCTAACTTGAAGAAAAAAATTTGAGAAATGCTCCTAAATGACTCAGGGGTACAAGATAATGATGATATTACAAATTCAGATCACAGACTCAGCTAGGCTGCTTTGTTTAATACCCATATATGCGATGGTAACTAGAGCAGAGGTTATATTGAAGGCTTGAGCATGGGGGCTTTGTTAGGTGAAAGAAGAAATTACACCTTAATCAATAAAAGATCAATTCGGATAATTGAACCACGATAATAACAATAAAGTCAGAAATAAACCGCATGAAATCTAAGGTCACAACGTGGAACTCGACTAGACAGTCAATAACATTCCACTACATGGCATAACACAGCAACAGTCAGTAAACCTTATGGATGGCTATTATTGCATTGGTCCAGTTTAATGTTAACTTTCCTTTTCTTCAACCTTAATTGACATTCAACAATCTCAGGATATCAGAATACGAACTCAAGTGAACAAAATCTGCTTCACCCTAGGTTGCTAGGTAGTATTGTGGTGTGTGTTATGGACATGCAGACTAATGATAGGAAGCCGCCAAAAATTGTAATGAACATGCAGAAATCATTGGTTTCAGATGTAGAAGTGTTTACTCCTCAAATCTGGATTTAGTTTACATTGTGGTCTGGAAATAACCTCATTAGACAACTTTTCGTCTCATTGTTTGACCCTGGGCCAATCGCCAACCAATCAGATCAGTTTATTATTGTGTCACTGACCTAGCCGAATTTTATAATATGGTTAAAAATGTATACTACATATGATGTGTCATTATCGATTCTCTTATCTTCTGCCGGCCAAGTTAAACTTTAAGCACCACTAACTACCAATGGAGTGCGACCGCACCAGTGACCTTGAAATTCGCACTGAGCAAGTTAGTGAAATCTGGCAAGTAATGTTGTCATCATCAGTGAAATATGCTCATCGAAGTGCTATGTTATTAAGTGAGATATCTGGCAAGTTTCAGTTTAGCTTTCGAAAGATTAATTACGCTTTAAGCCAAGGACAAGTTAGGGTTAGATTAACTTAATAAAGGCAACATTAGGGATGGTTCGAGTCAGATTACAGTTAGTTTAGGGATATTGTCACGTTAGGGTTAGGTTCAGCAAAGATTAGGGTTAGAAGAACTGAATAATTACAAGTATAGAATGTGGTTAAATTACTCTGTTGATATGAGAATAGTACTTGTGCACTGTGGTAGAGTATAATTCCATTGTGGGTAACATTTATTTTGATAAAGTCTTACAGTGTTATACAGTAATATTTACTAATGACCACGTTTCGAGCACAATTTATTGCTCAGGAAATATTACTGTATCACACTATGAAACTTTATCAATCAAATAAATTTTGCTCACAATAGAATTATACTCTGTTGATACTCCAACCTACAACTGAGAGCTATTTTTGTCACATGTGAGGGGAAGATATCCTCTGTAACACATTTCTACAGTATTAATGCATGTTTTTCATAAATACATGTGTTCCATACACAAAAATGCCTCCTTCACGTGATTGGTGCGTTCGAGGTCACTCACTGATTGGTAGTTAGTGGAGTTTAAAGTTTAACCTTGCCCTTCAGGTGTGATTCACTTTGCTTCCAACCGTGTTTATAACGATATTCAACTGTCACAATTACACAGCTTAAAACAAACATATTATACTGTATTCGATAACGGAAACATCTGAAGTAGACGCAGTGAAACAACACCAGTGAGATATATGCTGCACATCAGCAATACATGGAAATTTTTCTTTAAATAACCAATCCGGTATGTGCATTAGGTATTTCTCCTTGATAATGATAATGTTGACACCAATGAAGAAAGGCATTTTGAGCCAAAAGTATCACATATTTGTGGTCAAATTATAGGCAATCTCTTAAAATCAATCGGTCATCATATAAGTCCGAATTTGAGAGAGTTGTTTTTTAATAAACAATTTGAACGAAATATCGAAGAATCTAAGGTTGACTTTCTTTCACGCTGTAGACATGTTGATTTATTACTTATATTATTGAAAATCAAAACAAATGATTCAGTGAAGAGACTCTTTTCAACGAATTTATCATCGAGCTGTACAATCGTATATATATGGTTTTTAAGAAGTTATATCCGGTGTTTATCAATTCACCTGCTCGTGTGGAGCTAGATATATAGGTTGTTCGACACGAGTTTTGTCGAAGAGGGTGCAAGAACACTATCCTGCATGGTTACGACAAGGTGGAAGTGGAGCAATAAGAAGTGCGATCATTGAACATCTGGTCGATAATAATCAGCCTATCTCTATAGCCTCCGCTTTCAAAGTCATCTATAAGGCAAAGAGTAATTTACCCAAATCCCTACGTACTCGACTCATCTGTATTGCTGAAGCCATCTTTGGCCATCGAAACAGAAAAGCCAGATCTCTGTGTACAGAAAAAGTTCGTTCAACCCCTCCAACTTTCATGGTCTTAATCCCTCTATGCTAAAGTATGGTAATCCCCAATCATATTTTAGCTCTACCAATTTTTCATTTTTTCATTTTTGTCTATTCAATTCGTATACTCTTCCTTATTACGTCAATTGTTACTAGTACTACTCTCACTTTTAATTGTCCCCGGTATTATTTCACTTGTTCCACTTGTCATTCTAAATCAATTCCTTTATGCAACATTAAATTCTATGCTATTAAATTTCACACAATATTCGATTTGTCTATTAATCCTATAATTGAACACCTTTTTCAAGTTCTATATATCCTATGAATTACTCTATATATGACATTAATTTGCTTTGCCACTTGACATTTAACTATGAGTATAATCACAAACATTTTTCTTTTAATTGCATTTCATAATACTATTATTATTATTACTATGTTATGCATTCACACCTATGTTTCAATTCCCCCACCGGATATAACTTCTTAAAAACCATATATATACGATTGTACAGTTTGATGATAAATTCGAGTCTCTTCACTGAATCACTTGTTTTGATTTTCTATATGATACAATGGGAATTTTCCATGACTTCTATTATTGCCTACAGGATGCTTGAAACCGATCAAGAACCGTTTTATCTTCTGATTATCTTCTGATTTCCTACAATAAGTTGAAGAGTAACACGTAGATCCCATGGCAGAACTCTACAATTAAATGTCATTACACATAGCTTTAAAAATGAAGTTGGCCTTTCTTTCCGGATATAAAAACACAAGTAGGGAAAACCCACTTACAAAAGGAAAAAAAGTGATCTCAAAATTCAACATTTTATACTTACACCTTGTTCACTGTCACCGAATTGAATACCAAGAGTATTCATTGCTCTGAGTATAGCAACCATCGATTGAATTGTATTGCTATAGACAACCGGTTTATATTGTTTATTATCCTCTTGTGTAAATCCTCCTTCGTGTATAATTCTATAAGAAAATAGAAATAAATAGAGAGAAAAAGAAACACGTTGTTATGACAGATTGTGATACTGGGTTGTGGTTGTCGTCTAACTTGACTAGAATGCGCCTTTAGAACACAACACTATAGACCAACTGATCACTTGAAAATATTCCCCCCCATACTGAGGTAGACACAAAAGCTAAATACATGATATGTTATATTCACCGAACCCTCAGAAATTGAAGCCATAAATAAACAAATCAAAACTGCCCAAACAGGTTATGATGTAAGTATATGTATAAGTCATGTTAACAAAGAAGCTCGCCGTCCTAACACATGTAAAAGACAATAACGACGGTTTCAATCTCCTTGTCACTGAATTTTGATTGTATAAACTACTTAACCCTGAATGGCATACATATACAGGCCTTCTGGCAATGATGTCATCACATCACCTCTAGTATTTGACGACATCATTTGACAGTGAGGATTGATAAGGATTACACTTCATTTCAACCGGATTGTACTCACATGATGGAATGTATTATATCCTGAACACTAATCCTATTTTCATTATTAAATAATTTTAAGTAGAAAGTAAATGACTACTCAAACACTACAGAAATTCATGTATAATGTTTGAACAAAGAAAGAAAAACTGGCGCAGAATAATCGTCGTCGGTTCTCATCATCTGCATACAACCTGAATTCTTTAATAAAATAAAAAGTGTACAATTTTAACAAACTTTTGTCCATCAGCAAGCATGTTGTTATAGCGTCATAGTGAAATAAGGCGTTGCGACTTATAAGGTTTCTAAAGTGTTACGACGTATATATACCTTGTTAGAGAGAAGTTTCTTGAAAAAAAAATTAATTAACAGTTGTATTGTTGGGGTGGTATAAAAAAGCAAATTAGTGATAGTTACGTAATTAGATAAGAGAAGATCAAAATTTTAAAATTTCGGTGCACATGAGGTCAGATGAGAAGTTGATGATGTAATACAGTGAGCAGAACTCAGAAGATCAACAAAAATTATCTCTTAAGAGAGTCAAGCGAAAAATAAAGGGGGGAGGGAGAGTGGAAAGATAAGTTAACAAAATTAGAAAGCAAAGAGTTACTAAGAATTGAGTCACCAGGGTAACTGAAGTCCAACAACGGATTCTTTTTGGACACATAAGTCAGGCTTCAGTCGTTTTATTGCTATAGCTTCAGCAAACCTGAGAAGACTTGAGGTACTACTTTGTCTGTTAATTATTTTGAATGATTCCAGCATATCTACTCGGTGCCCTGTGTCAATCAGGTGTTTGGAGATTGAAGAGCTTAAACAACTCGGTCCCTTTAACCGGAGGCTCCTTGGTACATGTTCACAGAATCTGACGTAGGCCCTCCTCTCTGTTCTTCCAATGTAACTGCTCCCGCAGATACATGTGAATTGGTATACACAGTTAGAGGTAACATGTGAGTCTAGGTGAATGTACAAATTCACCAAGTGAGGTAGGGGTGAGATACTCATACCGAGATACCATTTTCTCATCCTATATTAAAATCAATATTATTTAAAGTAAGATTATACTTTGAAGAAGCTACGAATGATCAGACTAAATTACATAACACCACTAATTTATTGGTAACGGGTCACCCGGTTCAAGTGTCAAACCATTCTATTATCGCTAGTCGGTAAACGAAACCTATGGGGACAAGTCATAAAGCAACGTCCAATATACGGTGGGGGAAGTAATACATGTACCCCATATATTCACAATAATGTGCGTACAGAACGTTTTCCCAGTTTATCTATGCGAAAGTCAGATATGATCAGTTGAAATAAGCATAGAGGCCTCTGTAGTATTGCCGTATGATAAAGGAGGGATGTCAGACACCTTACGTGGGATTCTTAATGAGGCTGGACTTAGGGGGGGCATTAAAACCAACTAACCAACCAACTCTCTCAGAGATAAACTTTGTCCGCTTAAGGACCCCCTAACAGATCCAATTAAGAAAAATAATATAATTTACCAAATACCATGTAGTCACTGTGAGGTCGAACTAGTAAATTGGGGTCAACTAGATTATTGGTACACAAAAATTTAGCTAGGTCGAGAATAATTGACCCTGCTAAGTACAACAACCTAGGAAAAAAGTTTAGCCATTGCATTGCATTCACTTGCATATGATCACAAAGTAGAGTGGGGAAGGGTGAGAGTGATAAAAAGTAACACAGTCAGTTGGAGAGAGAGAGGTTATTCCCTGAATCTTTGTTTATCGATTCAACACTGCACACGTGCAATCGGAATGACGCAACACCTATACTGGAGATACGGAAAGTGGCAACAAACAACAAGGTGGGAGAGAAAGATAGAAAATATACATAGGACAAATTGTGAAAGTGTTTGACTAGAACTGATATGATTATAAGCAATAATAATTTATGCTCGAAACTTTGTCATCCAGTTATTAACACTGTGTTTGTAATGAGACAGACAGCGAGCAGCGAGGAAACTGGCATAAAATGGACCCACGCAAAATAAAACTTGGAGGATCTGGACTTCACCGATGTTATATGTCTGATTTCCCATTAACTGGAAGATATGCAAGTGAAAAGCAACAAGTTGGCGATAGTAGAAGCATCAAAGATAGTACTTCAGGTGAACATAGAGAAAAAAAGGGTAATGAAAATTACTGGCCAACAGTAACAGCAGCAACAACGACAGACAACAGTCAGCATAATTGGGAGAAATCTGAAAGAAGCAACCTCCTTTACTTACCTACCTGCGACAGGACTGATGAGGATATCAAAGTGAAGATCGGGAAAGCAAGACAAGCTTTCATTACTCTCAAGTCTGCGTGGAGGTCAACAGCATTCAGCATGAAAGATCCGGATTTTCAACTCCAATCTGAAGTCAGTGCTGCTTACTTTACCGATCAGAGAATTCGGCACTGCGTCACAAAGGGCACTTCGAACAACCTAAAGACCTACATCACTAGCTGTCTCCGCTCAATACTACTCAATATCACATGGCCAGAAAAGATCAGCAATAGTGAGGGACCTCTGGCAATGAAGGAACCAACTGTGCAACAAATATGCAAGAAGAAATGGAGGTGGACTGGCTATACTCTGACAAAACCATCAGGTGACATCACACGATAGGCCATCACTCAAGTGGAACCCGAATGGGAAGTGGAGTTAGTTGGTTGCCAGTGCGAGGGTGACATGGAGGAGGTCATGTGAAGAGGAGATGAAAGTATGTTAGCAGACCTGGAGCCAGGTGAAAACATCGGCAGAGAACGGAACGCGATGGAGACGTGCGGCTGGAGCGCTATGTTCCTCAGGGAATTAAAGGAAATAATAATAATGATACTGTTTGATATTTAAAATAAACTTATCCAATATGGAATCATCAGTTAAACCTGTATCTTGAAATCTGGCAGAATACCCAAGACCAAGTCTTAAAGTTATCGTTTCTCTCTGGATCCTAGTTCAGTACTACATGTTTCTGCGTCCTGAATTCCCCCCAAAAAACTAAGTAGGCTAGAAAAGCAAGTAAGTTGTGCACAACTCTCATTCTCCAGCTAACATCCCTATTTAATCTTATTGATAATTTCAAGTTAAGAACCAGAAACTCTTCGAATCAGTGATTCACATAGGCCACACTATCTTCTATATTTCAAGTCATCCTCTTATCATGGGTGAATAACCAGACCGTAAATTTAAAATTCACTACTCAGGCCAAGTACTTAAGCTTCTGAATTTCACGACAGGTTTAACAAGGTGAAAATCCAAATAGTCATCAAAATGCTTCAGAAATAAACAATTGTCAACGAAGTTTCTCCACCATTTTATGAGTTCAACAGGCTATTAAAAGTTGAAACGGATTTCTCAACACACCACTAGAATAAATTAAGATTGACAGCTGATGATATACAAAACAAAACTATATATTTGAATCAAATCAATACTAGTTGATGTGAGTAATACCCAACTATACTAATCAATTTTGATGGGAAGAATTTTCCTTTCCAAAAATAAACTGTAGTGAAACACTTCACCCCTCACACTGTATCACTTTTAAATCGCTAATCTAATTTGACGCATTACCAGTGTTCGTTCAAGTAGCTAGCTAGAATTTGGCCTATTTGAACTTATTCGGTTCTCTGAGCTGAGTCAAACCACTGGTGACCTCGCCCAACAGGAAGGCTTCGTGTGCATTTGGAAGTGTGTGGGCGGTTGTTACTTCCGGCCGCCCACACCGTGGAAGTTGTTTGATTCTTCTGGTGCCTGAAACCTTAACCGCAGAGCCCAGGGGACAACTGCTTGAGGCCGGTCATACACGGCCTGTATGAACTGATTTCTTGGATTGGTTCCGTATTAGTAACTTACCGACGGTTACGGAGCACCACAGGGTAAGTCGGGATGTACAATTTTCGGGGTTGACTTTTTCTAACCCCCTCTCTCCAGAGTGGAGAGACAGCATAGGAAAGACCTCACTGCTGTTACATCCCTGTTCCTCAGCAGTACGACTTGATCCACAGACCCCAGCAGAGTGTAAAGAAAATTCTTACACTATGCCGGTAACTGCTTTTAGTCTAATCGTTATCCTAATAACTTTCCTGGCATGGTAGGACCTGCAGGAACAATAGTTCCAGCCAGTGTAGCTTGTTGGGTCACTGAGATATGCGCAAACCCAGCGACTACCACATCAAAGTAGCAGCTATCGATAGGGGGTGGCCTCGCCCACCCACCCCACCCCTGCATGAGTGGAACGACCGTATGATGTTTAGATCATAATGATCGTAGTCGGTCTGTAAGTACTACTGGTTTTTAAGAGTGGTGTCGAACTAACTACTCATCTCAATCAATCAACAGTATATACAGCACTGCGGATTTCAGAAACCTGAAATTCCTATTTAATTCGTACTTCAAGTAAAACAGCTCTGTCCTCTCCATCCTTCACCTTCTTGCATGTTGAATGTTCTGTATATTGACATTAAAGTTATTTTCGGTTGTATGCAATGATTTTTGGCATT